TAGGTTAATCGAGGTTGTGGTACATTCATTATTCCAGATTTTTTGGGATTTTCTCTCCTTGTTTTTATAAAATGAAAATATGAATATTATTTCAATATCCGTATTATTTTATAGAAACGAGGCGAGAAAATCTCAAAAAATCTGGAATAACGAACAAAAAAGTTTACTTCATATTATGTATAAACATGTTAAAGGCAAAATATTATATTTGACGAAAAGTTATCTACACAAAACCCTACTCGTGACCTTCGGGATGCATCTGATAATACTTTTTTGCGCAATGAAAACACGACACAGCAGTACCATTGCCCCACACCGCAATATCGAAACGACTTGTGCATAATATACATTTATGAGTTGTTCCATTTCTAGTAAATCTCTCACATTGATGAAGAGAAATCTCAAAGAAGATATACCATTGATGTTAATTTTTTGCAGTGATCTTTCCAATTGAGATTTTCATCTAGATTAATAACTGAAAATCTGTTTGTACTCTAATAATCAACATTATTTTGAATTTGATGAATTTTGATAATTTCCGTTTTCTCTTTGTATTGAAAAATAAATTGTTATCCTTCAAATAATCTGAGACTTTAGTCATTAATTCAGTACATTTGCTCTCAAGTGTGAGAGTTTCTGGTGCCGAAAGTACGAATGAAAAGCCATCTGCATATGCAGTGTAAGGAGTATCTCCAATAAAATTGTCAAGTTGATTGACATAGAGTGTGAAAAGTACAGGACCCAGATTTGAGCCCTGAGGCACACCCATCTCCACTGTTGAATACTCCGACTCAAACTGCCTCACTTGATTTTCCAGCTTCTACTATAACAAATTGTTTGCGGTGGTCCAGAAATGATAATATCCAAGATAAAGCTGCGCCTCTCAGGCCATACATCTCAAGATTTGTCGATAGTTTTTCGTGGTTGACAAAGTCGAATGCCCTGTTCAGATCACAATAAATCGCAGCTGGGCATTCGCCCGCGTTAATTTTCACTACATCACATGAACGTTTTGAAATCGGACTAGTATCTCAAGAAAATATCCGTATGCAAGAGTGGAAATTTAGTAGTGGTTGTGATTTTCAAACATTATGTTCGAATAGATCTGACTAAATCCCACTTCTGATTCCTTTCAGATGGTCTGATCTATCGATGACGGCAAGTATTGAAGGATGGTCATGTGATTGTTCTCTGAGGGACAATAAATACAGTTGGTCCTGGAAACATAGTTTGATGGGAAACGCCGTTTCTTGGGCCAACTGGACAAGGCTGTCGGAGTATTCCTATGAATCCGGGTGCTGCCCGGAGGTCGCGAGGCCAAAGGGCACGTACCTAGTCAGAGGACGGTCACATGACAACGTGGTTGCGGTTCGATGGTTCCATTCGGAACCGTTTTGGTACGGATCGATATGACGGTAATGTAATTATTCTTGAATTTATCAGCTAATGCGATTGTTTGGAAGAAGGAGTTATGTTACAAATATGAGTTTGTGAGAAGAATAGGTTTTAGTAAAGTTAGCTGGCAATTTCTAAGGGAAGCTGGTTTGATAATTTGACTTGTGCAAGTGTGAGGAATAGTTTTAGGTTGATTTTTTATGTTCATTATTCCAAATTTTTTGGGATTTTCTCTCCTCGTTTCTATAAAATAAAAATATGAATATTATTTCAATATACGTGTAGTAAGGACAAATCAGATGATTTGCCCCAAAATGTCACTGCGTTTAAAGAGTTTTCCTATCAGAGAGCCTAAAAGAAAAATTCACTAGCTTGTCAGTGACAATTTGTATTGAAAAAATTTTTGGAGAAGGGAAATAAAGGTATATAGAAAAAATATCAAATTTTCACTTATCTTTGGACGTTTCGGGACCGGTTCTGCTCCCGTTTTCAACATAAGAAGAGATTATTTCGATAGCGAAGTCGTATAATGTCTTGAAGCTTTTCAGTTTTCAATGACAATTGGTGACGTTGGCAATCAAATGAGTTACAGGATGTTTTCAAGTGAAAACTGTGTTCAAAACTGAAAATACAATGAGATCAATTCTAACTCAAACAAAGCCGAAAAATGAAGAACAATCATCAAAAAATTGTATTTACAGTATACCTTGTGTTTGTGGAAAGTTTTATACAGGTGAAACCAAGAGACCTCTTTCAGTAAGGACGAAGGAACATAAGTACAATATAAAGAAAAGAAACATCGATAAATCGAAACTAGCTGAACATATCCTTACTGAAGACGGACAACATATGGCAGAGTGGAATAATATTAAAATTATTGGAAAAGAAGATAACAACCAGAAGAGAAAAATCAAGGAATCTGCTTGCATTCTTCTGAACGGAGACAATAACATTGCTTCTTGTTCAGTTGAGATAGACAGAACATGGTATTCACTACTAAAATCTGAACATGAAAATGGTAAATTCAAGATCAATTAATGAAAACATCCTGTAACTCATTTGATTGCCAACGTCACCAATTGTCATTGAAAACTGAAAAGCTTCAAGACATTATACGACTTCGCTATCGAAATAATCTCTTCTTATGTTGAAAACGGGAGCAGAACCGGTCCCGAAACGTCCAAAGATAAGTGAAAATTTGATATTTTTTCTATATACCTTTATTTCCCTTCTCCAAAAATTTTTTCAATACAAATTGTCACTGACAAGCTAGTGAATTTTTCTTTTAGGCTCTCTGATAGGAAAATTCTTTAAACGCAGTGACATTTTGGGGCAAATCATCTGATTTGTCCTTACTACACGTATATTGAAATAATATTCATATTTTTATTTTATAGAAACGAGGAGAGAAAATCCCAAAAAATTTGGAATAATGAATATACCACCTCCTCGATTAACCTACAGACAGTATTTGATTTTTTATGATTTACAGCAATTTGCTATCATATCATTTTTTGATAGATATCTGGATTTATGTGTACATAACCCCTTCTTCCATTTCCTGACATGTAGTCAATGGGTACAAAGCTCCTTCTTCTATTGCGTCCTTGATGTTTAATGTAACATAGTTCTACCACTGTAAATCTGCTCAGATATGAAGAATAGAAACAAATCCTGATGGGGCAAGTTACATAGGCACGTAACACGTTCTTACATGTCCGAGTCCGGGATTTACGTCGATTTACGTACCGGAAGTATCACTCCGTTGTTGTCACTGTAACTATAAAAATCTTGGTATGCAGATGATAATTACCATAGCAGCGAAATATCGGCGAAATATTAGTTGACATTTCGATTTTTGAAAGTTTGGTTGCAATTATCGCAATAAACTATCGGAAGCAGCTGCGATAGTGAGTTTGAAAATGTCCATAAGTTTCCAAGGTAACAGTTAGTAGGTATAGGTATTCTGTTCAAATTTTAGTTTTTGATACAAATGAGAATTAATAAAGGAGAAATTGTATTCTACAAAGAAATATAATATGGAAATGTGTCTCATTGATTTGTTATCCTACATGGTTGCCGAAAAAATAGTGTACGCAGCACGTCCAAAAACAGTTTTTTTGGACTCGCAGACTTCCAGGGCTCGCCTACGGTACGGCCTAGAATTTTGTCTACTCGTCCAAAAAAAAAACAGTATTTTCGGGACTTGTTACGTAAATTACTATTGTTCATGAAGTAATTCTCTTCCCTTTTAGTAAATTTTTGAACGCTACATTTTGATACTGATAAAAAATATGAACAAATTATCACATTTATCGATAAACTGGCTTATTCTCAACAGCGTTTTTGAAGAGCTGAGCAAGTAGATAAGAACGAAACAACGTTTTGCGGTACCTTTATCTCCAAATCTTCGTATTAAATCTTCTCATCCTACGGTTTTTTTTTATTTCGGAAATGATATGCAAATGATATACCACAACTAGACAGTCTGTATAATTATATCTACCTCTTTATAAAGCATTTATCATTCACAACAGAAAGTTGCACCACAAAATTCATTTTCCCACCCGTGTGCCAGGTAAATATTTTCCATGCTGTTATTAAGCCATGTTTTTTATTTTGCTCGGTATAGAATTCATTGAAATATGGGTAAAAGATGGATATTTTCAACATGCAAAACAGAACTATTATAATTTAAATTTGCGAAATACAGGGTGTCTCAGTAGATACCTGGGTTGTCTCACATAAAAAAACTATCCACTATTGACCATATTATGATCCACCCGTTTTTTTTTCGGTTCATCTCACAGAATTTTCCTAGTAGATTATTTCTCAGGCAATTTATATATATGGCACAATTTGTCTAAATTTTTCATTCCTATTGGTTGGTCAATATACAGTGTGATCAACTCGAAGACTCAAGATCGTTGCACTCCTATAAAATCTAGTTTTCAACCGATTAAATTATTTTGTTTTTGTTTCAGCAGAAAAAGTATCAAACAATCTGTTATATTCACACAAGATATAATTCCAATTTTCAGGGCATGTTTTTTCAATTGCGAAATATCATTAGCGATTAATTTCAAGAAAATTCGACCCAGCCCACTGGATTCAGCATTCTTCAATTAGGCTGAAGGCAAAATTTTATTGAAAAACTTTGATTGGCAACAAAATTATACTTCAACATTTATTTTTGTAACTTAAAGAAAGCTAGAATGGCACCCTTTTTGAATATTTTTCATAAATACAATTCTAGATGATATTACTCAAGAATAATTTGTATTATGAATTCGAATGTATTGACAAGGTTGCCGCTTCTTAATCTGAAATTTTCATACGAAATGGTATATTATGAAAATTTATATTGTTATAACTTTGTTGCCAATCAAAATGTTTCAATGATAGTTCGCGATTAACATAATTGAAGGATGTTGAAATCAGTGGTTGAGTCGAATTTTCCTGAAAACAAATCGTAAATGATATTTCGCAATTTTTTTACCAGGTATGCAGTAAAATTGGAATAATATTTCGCAAGTTTGTGTGAACGCATACCTCGATACTTTTGCTGGTGAAACAAAATGGGTTGGAAATCAAAAACCGATATCACGAGAATGATTTTGTTTATTGAAGATCGCATATTTTCGTCATATTTACATAATTTACATAGTTGCTCATCTATTTACAATCATTTTTGGTCTTTCAAGACTATAATCACAATTTGTACAAACCTTATTATCTAAGTCACTTCCACTAGACTTCATAAAAATATATCACATAAAAAAATCTAACGTCCCTCATGAATAATCAAAGTCACATCAGATCCGTCCATCCCAACTATAGGACATAAATAAATACTTTTTATGGCATGTTCAAAATAATAAATAAATTTGCTAGGCAAGGAGAAACATTAAATAAACAGTCAGTCCCAGTCATTCTTCATAACGATCAATTCTTCATAACGATCAAATTCCAAATAGCCTAGACGTTTTTCCCCAAACTAGGTATTCGAAAAAATCGATTCGCACTTCGTTATCTGATTGTAAACCTTGTCGATTCTCTCGTTCAAAATTTTCACGCTTTTGTTGGGTATCGTCGGCAAAATGTCCTTGACGATATCACCGTTCTGAGTATCAAACATGCCCCTCAACAAATGGCCCACGTTGCCCTTCATCTTCAGCTTCCTTATCCTGTCAGCTGTCGACCTCCTGAAGACACACAAGTTCTCCAGAAGAATCGAGTGGTAGATCTCGTACTTTTTCAGCAGCCTGTAGCCGTGCAACAAGCCTGACTCGTTGTCCAAAAACACCAGCAACTCACTGTCTGTCTTCTTAGCTAGGTTGTGAGCCGGCGCATCCATAATGTTCGCGTTCCACTGGTAATTGTACAAGTTGTTCACAATGCGGTCCAAGTTGGCCGTGAGATAATCGAACACTATGAGATCGGACCATTGTGCCAATTCCACCATCCGTTTCATCAAACCCGATTGGTCCGAGGCGAATTGCTTGGTCATGTTCAAAACGTCGTACTTGTTGAGATGTCTCTCCACAGGTTTGAACACTTCCGGAATAGCGGCCGAGTTCAAGTTGGTGATGAACTGTGTGAGCACTATGGGCCTATTGGAGTTCCACTGGGCTGAAGCTATCTCGTTGGCCAGGTTTTGCCACAGCGGTTTGGCTAAGTCCACCACGCTTATAGTACTCGGAGCTAGGTTAGGCAGGTTCAAGATTTTAGCTAGGTAGAAGCTGAATAGCTCCCCTTGGATCTGATCCGTGTTTTGACGGTACCTGACGCAGCCTTTCAAGCCGTCTTGGAACGTCACCAAGCGGTTTTGCATGCGTCCACAACCGCTTTCCATCTTGACAGCCACTGCCTTTTGAACGTAAGCGCCCCATGTGTCGTCCCTGAGGTAGCCTTCTGGCAAGGCTTTTTCCACCTTGCTGCCCCAGTAGATACCATCCTCTACTAACCCGGAGTAGTCTTGACCTGACCCCAGGTTCTCCACGAAGGACACTGTGGGGTAGGTCCCGTTGGTTTTGAAGCCGTAACTGTTGTTCACGAAGACGGTTCTGATGTTGGAGATCAGAGGCGAGTTAGTGGTATGTTGCTGGGTCTGGTTCTTGACGTCTGGAGCCTCGAGGTAGAACAGCGGTATCAAGATGCCTATGGTGAGTCCCACACTGAACGCGAAAACGACACTCAGCAGACACAGGTTCTTGTAGACCGAGGTGGCAGTGGGTTTGGGATGCAACAGGTTCAGGTCACTGTCCCACATGATGGGATCTGCTTTCGCGAACATATCCGAGGATTGGTTGTCAAGACACATGTGAGTTGGGTTATAGTATGACAGCACTTCTCATATCGCACGAAGGAAGTTGTTGGGTTTTTTCGAACGTGACTGCTCGCGACTAAGGCTGGTCATGCACTGATCTTCATCTTAGTGGTTGTCGGTCTCGGTACGGTTTGGTTAACAATGCTACAGAGTAGGGTCTAGCGTTGTAGTGGGATGAATTTCTGACATATTTGGAGGGACAGAGAGGGTTATGCACGTGGTTGGGAGGGACAAGGATGGGCGAGTGAAGTTGAAATGGGAAGGTTGAGAGCAGTTGGCTCGCAATAAAGATAGCGTTTGTCTTGCGATATAGAAAAGTGACAAGGGTTTGTCGTTTGGTTGTTGTGGAGTCCTTTTCGAAATATATTGTATGAATCACGGTCTCATTCTGATGTCGGATTATTGTTCGGTGGTGTTGGCGTTTAGCATTTTGGAATCGGAATATTCGATTCGAAAGTTGTGGACGGGAAGTATACGGTCTGAGTGTCAATATGCCGATTAGCAATTTGGAACTTTGAAAAATTGTTTTTTAGTTTATCTGGCTTTATTTATTGTATCTCACTGTTACTTTTTCCCTGCTACATAATAGTAGTTGCAATTTATTTATCCGATTCCGTCACCGGAATCACTTTAATGTGTCGTTTTATTTTCAACTTTTCTGATTCCGGTTGCTACTTGCTATTCAGTCTCACTACAAGGAATGACGTGAATGACTGTAAAAAGTTGTCTAAAAATGAAGTTAGATTGACGAAAAACAAAACTTTTTGAAAGATGAACACATTTACCAAACATTTTTAATATTCTTTCAAGTAAGACAGGTTTCATATGGTTTTATATCTTCATTCCCAGATAATATTTATTCTCTCGATCTCAGAGAACTTTCACCAATTCTTCTTATCCATCATTCGGTTGCCCCACCAAAATCACTGCTCTAATTATGCGTTAATTCATATTCTTGATTTTTTAACTCTAGTAATTTGATTTTGAAAATATTTGGAACTGAAATATTTGAATATAACCTCTATGATTTACAATGTGCCAATTTCTCTCGCGGAAGGAGTGCAACTTCATATGAAGTTTCTCGTATTTGTAAACGCGCCAATCTGTTTCCACCACCGTTACCAGAATGGAACAAATTAATCGCCACTAGTGTTTTCAGATTTTTCATCTGATTTTTCATCTCCAGGCCACCATTATCAACAGTAGTCTGTGAGTTTGATCTTTCAATCTGTCACACTCAATGACATGATGTAGAGGGCTGTTAGCCAGTTGGATATCTCTTCCAGGAATGGAATTTTTTTAAATCCGCAAACATGCGAAAACAATATCGGATAAGGATCTGGGACAGGTGATTTCCAGAAGAATGAAAAAATTCCTGAAGTATATCGGAACTCCTAAACTATTTCGATTATGAAAAACTAAGTATTTGTCCAGCTGTTATGTCACTACTGGGAAACTGATAAGTTTTGAACAATTAATCTCAAACAGATATGAAGCATTCCGGTTGATTTGAAAAAAAAAAACGTCAAAAATTGAAGGGTTGGTCCACTTGTTTCTTCGAGCATGTGATTTTTTCTATTGTTTCAAGAAAAATAGTTATACTTTTGTATAAAATGTAAACTTTTACGGCTGTTCCTATACAACTTGATTTATCAAATTTCAACCTGATCACGTATTCCTCATCTTCTAATTTCTACATTTTACAATTCATATATTGTCTACCTTTAATCATTCTACCTACAGTAATTTTCTCATTGTTCAATATTAGTTAGGTCATACAGTTTAGTACATTCATTTGGTTTGTATCACTTGTCACGCAGTCATTCTGTCATGTATTCTGTCATGTCATCCTGTCATGTCATTCTGCACTTTCTGATGTTTTACCTATATTCTTTGCTTTTGGCTGTTGCCAAATGGCCACCAGTGTTGACGAAACCCTTGTTGAGTGAATTTTTATTTATAATTTCAAATTCCAATTCCTGCTGTTACCGATGGTGAATTCCATTATGGATTTGTTCTTCCGGCTGTTTAGTCGATTTAAAGAACAATATACTCAATAGTTCATTGTCAATTTGTAATTTCCTAATCTTTACAGGTGTTTTATGTGTCTGAAGATGGCCGTTGAGCCGAAACTATAGTCACAAACTTGATAATATAATTTTTGTGGTCGACCGACATTGTGTTATACTGTTTTTTCTTTGAAAAAATTTTGGACCACTTTGAGAAGAATGGATCGTAGAAGCCGCTGGTGAGATTTGGCAGGCTATTTCAGGACACCTTGTATACGAATAAGAATATCACTTTTCTCATTCTTTGTTTTCCATCCGTTTTAACGTTTTTGGCTATTTGAAGTGGTTATGTGGGGGTAATAGATCATTGTATTGCCCCCTGTAGTCCGTGTAGGTGTACGATTTGTTCAAGGTAAATACCGGGGGCAACGTATTATCTAATGGATCGATACCAATCGAACGAACGAATACGCTCGATATTTTTCTTAGAACAATTCAAACAGCTTCGAGCACTATCCGAATGAAAAAGTACAGTGATGTCTTCTTTTGAATTTATTGCTCATTCAAATAAGTTTTACAAGTGAATTCATAAGTTGGGTAATCCATATTAACATACAATCATTAATTGTCTTGTCAAAAAATTATAATGTTAATATTAATAATGGGTATAATTTATTTAAATTATTTCTTTATTGAGGCAAACAAAATAACTGTTGTAAGTCAACACGTGAAAGTATCTATACAGACAATGTAGATTTTTTTACTGCATCCGCCAATATTTTGTTACATGAAACATTTGAATTTTCTAGTGTTTTTCTGATGACGAGAAAAAATTTGCCTCTTCAATATTTGAGGCTATTGAGCGTTTTTGAACACCCACACGGTGATAGACTTTCAGTAAATGTTTAATAAATTTCAAATAAGTGTGTTTGAGAAATATCGGTTTTATTACGAGTAATTTATTTTTGGCATTTATCTCGAGATCCATACAGTTTTCGAAAAATTTATAAGGGGGCAAAAAGTTTCCAAATTGCAGAGACAATCTTAATCTAGATCTCATTGAAAGCAGAGGCGACACGCAAAAAAGTTCTACAGGGTTAAATTGGATACGACCCCTGAGAGTCTATCACCCTGTAGGTATTCAGAAACGCTCAATAGCCTCAAATATTGAGTTTTTGAAGTGTATTAAGTGTTTCGAATTTCAATCAATTATTCTGAAAATTGTAGGAGAAAATTCAAAATACATGAAAAAATCTGAAACTTTGACACTGTGAATCGGAAACGAAGCTCCCACGCACATATGTTTGTTTGAGAGTTTCATCTTGAAAAAATGTCTTCTTCAAGTTGTTGAAGTCCTGCTACAAAAACTGAAACACCCTGTATATACAGAAAAACATTGAGAATTCGCATTCTCTTTGTGATGAACATATCAACCCCTGGCTATATGTCATGACGAACATTGAATTATATCTATCGAACACACGCGATAAGAATCTGAAAATAAAATCTTCTAGAGTTGAGAATTTGCATTATAGTTTTATATCATTATAAATCATATTATTTATCCGTTTTGGAATTTCCGAGGATTCTTATTTCCATGTTCTCTTTTCGGATGTTCAACAGAAGAAATTCAATGTTCGACGTGGCAAAGAGCCAGGAGAATAGTTGTTTTCTGTTGAATATACCGATAAAGAGTTTTAACTGGAATGAATTCGCTACTGGGGAAGTGAATGATTTTTCTGAAAATTCACGAGACACGTCAACGTCAAAATGTATTTATCTACATTTGGCGAGCTATATGGAGAATATAAACCATCTGGGGTAGCTGGAATCAACCCCAACATGTTTTTTTCAAATGCAACCCTAGGGCTTGCGACTCCTCATTGGAAAGCTGGTTGAAAGACGAATCCAGGGTACTGATCACTGATCATATTTTAGTTTGTAGTACGTTTGGGGGTCGCAAAAATCAAAATATAATTTCGAAGTACAAAATATTTTCTACGTATTTTCATCAAAATTTCGATTTTTAGTGACAGTGATATAGGGCATTCCCACCAGTTTGCAATAACACTTCGTTTCTTTGAATACGGCAAAAAATTGATTTACTTTTTGTGGCTCTATAAAAACACTGGAATACAACAGCAGATAGCAGTAGTGGCAAAAAATTGCCATCAATTGGTTTCAGCAATTGACACGTTGAAAAACAATTAATTTTTTCTACTCACATAACTAAAATTACATTTAGCGTACGGATATCTACCACGCTAAATGATCGATTAATCACGGATTGTCGATCTGTGATTTATTCAAAACATTAAACACGTTACCATGGCAACACAGTTCATTAAACACAGCTTCAGTAATTTGAGACATGTCTGGCCTGTCAATTGTATTAACTGTCAACTGTTATTTTCAAATTTTGTATCAGAATTATTCAAACAATATTCATTTGTATCAGAATTCTTCATAAAAAATATATGCGAAATGTAGACGAAAGTGAAATCAAAGAGAATGTTCTGGTACTTGCATATCTCCAAGAAGTGTAAAAATGAAGCATCCATCTTTGAGAAGAATTTATTTATTCTGCGCTAAGCATGAAAATAAACGTGAAACAAAGGTTAGTAAGCAATGGAGGTTAGCAGGAATAGCAGGTATGTCAATGTAATTTTTGGAGTTCGTAGAAAAAGCATAGTATGTAACGCGTTTATAAACTCTTCTAGACACTCGTTTATTAAACACTCGCTCCGCTCGTGCTTAATATACTCGTTACTAAAAGGACGTTTATAACACTTGTTACATAATATACTATTAAAATTTCATTTCAATTTTATGCAATCTTTAAACGTATGAAACAGTAAACTTTGCAAAAGCTAGGTACGTTAAATCGTTGACGTGTGTCGGGAATTTTTAGAAAAAATATTCACCTCCTCCCTAACGAATTCATTCCAGTCTCCACACTGTACATATTCCCATTTTTTCATATTCATAATATATCTGAGAATATTTCTCTTCAATACTGGTAATTGTTTTTGAAAAGCCACTTTCAATGTCATTTGGAGAGAAAATAAAATGTCTGTTTGATGTTT